CACATTATTCTGACAAAATAATTAATCAGGAAAACTGAACTTCTTGTTTAGGAGCTATCCTTAATTCACAGAGAAAATGTGCTTCAAATTGCACTAATGAAATGAAAATAAATTACAGCAAACCTATTTTATGGTTGAATGTGTAATAACTATTCAAGAATAATTAAATATAACCAGGAAAATATTTTTTAGGGGACAATAAAACTATCAGGATAATGGACGTGATAATATGAATATGGAAAAAAAAGTGTGAGTTTCTGCTGTTACATCCTGTACAACAGAGACTCGATACTGTATGAACAAACATGTTTTTCTATATGTGCATGTGTGGTTGTGTGCATATGTTGTGTGTGTGTGCATGGTTGGCTGCATGTGCATGTGTGTAAAGGAAACATAGTGAGGTTTGACAGGCTGTTTGGCTGCAAAGCGCAATACAGCAAGCAGTCAGCCTGCGGCCTGCTGCCACCAGACGCTGCTTCCATTAATTACTAAATAAAAACAAATTGTGAAACTAATTGAAAAGAGGGATAATTCATTTCCACCTACCAGAGGCATTATTCAATCACCTCTGTTTGCACCCGGCTTCTTGCTGTCTCTTAATTTCCCTCTCTTGTCTCATGCAACCAATAGAATGCTTAACAAGTGTGCATTATAATTCAAAAACTGTGCAAAGAAATGACTTCAGTAAACTGGGATTGAGTGTACTATATTGTGCTTGAAGTATTGGACTACTTGCATGTGCAGGGGAAGTTTGTTGTCATGTATAAAGGGAAAAATCTGTCCAACTAAACACAGTTCCTCTGTGATGTTAAACGGTGCGGTGTTGTACAAGCACATGTGCAGTGACTTGGAATGTGAGACACCTACATGACAAGTGTTAGACTGAATCATTTGACGGAGCAAATTTCAAACTGAGTCATATCGAGTGTTATGTCAGTGATTGTGGTCAATTTTGTAGTCACTGGCTCACTACAAAGATGCTGAAAGGAAAATTTAATTTCAAGGAAGATTCCTTTTCCACGGCACTTTCATCATGCTCTATTTCTGCGTAGCTGAGTGTCAAACGTGGAGAGCAATTTTCCTTGGTTGTGAGAGAGTATATGTGCTTTTATCACCCGTGTTCTCACGCAACACAAGCAATCACACACACACACACACACACACACACACACACATGCAAGGGTTGCTGGGAGAGCCGACCCCTGTGGGTGTGTTATGCTTTCATAATGACTTAAAAGATAATTTAGCAAGTAGGGTCTAGAGTGGGAGTGAGGCAAATACAGCTTCCATTGAAACACATCAGTTTATGGATACTTGGTAAAATTTCAAGGTGGATTATCAATTATGGAAATGCTTGTGGATCTGTTGGAGGGACTGAGCGCACAGAGAAGAGGAGGTAGACTGGGATCATGTCTTATTGGAAACCACAAGATCAACTGATATAAAACCAGAGTTAGCTTTCTCAAGAAAGGACAGAGTCACTGATTCACAATTTTGTATTTGCAGTCACTGTTTACGCAGTGTCAAGCTTTGATGATGCCTTTAAAGGAAAGATGAGGGCCTGAAATTGTAACAATGCCTCTTTTTGCAGTAACACTCTCATATGACTTAAAAGTTTTGAAGGAGTTTTACCTTGAAGAAGCCTTTGCAGCCCTCACATGTGCGTACGCCGTAGTGCTGGCAGGCTGCGTTGTCCCCACACACTGCACAGGTGCCCTCCCCTTGAGGGCCACGCGGAGGAGGTGAGGGCAGGCTGTCTCCCAGTAGGGGGCCACAGGGCCCAAGAGCCAGGGAGCGGAAGGCGAGGCTGCTGCCCCCGGCCCCACGATGCAGCTGGTACATAGGCTGGTCCAGGGGTGGACAATGAGGATGGGAGACCGAGGATGACGAGGAGGAGGAGGAGGAGGAGGTTCGAATCAGACCTCCTCCCAGGCTCTCATAGCCACCAACGCTGCCACCACTGTGGGGCGGTGAGTGCTGGTAGAAGTGTGGAAAACGGGGAGACTTGAGGGGACCTGTCTCCAGGCTGGAGCCCAAAGAGTGGGGGTGCGACGGAGGGGCCAGGGAGTGTTCGTCCCACAAGAAGGAGGTGCCAGGCTGGGGGGGAAGAGATGGAGTGGTGGGAGTGGAGGGGGGAGACTGTTTAAAGTGCATGGCGGAGTACGACATGGCCTCCAGTGCCGGAGCAGTCGGATAGCTCTCCTCCTCCTTTTTGATGGTGGGCCTGTGTGTGGGCATCTGGTAGAGGCAAGAAGACTTGGGCTCGTAGCTCCCCTCCACAAACACATTGAAGCTGGGGAGGGAGGTGGTGGCCGCGGCGGCAGAGATCTCACCGCCACCCAGGTCCAGCTTGGTGTAGTCAGGGGTCATGAGGTCAGAGCTGTAACTGTCGCCCTGGTAACTGAAGGACTGGCCAGAGTAGGCTGAGCCTGGAGGGGCGGGCCCATACTGAGCCTGCACACAGGGCATGTCTACCAGGGAGACAGAGCACACACGTAGGTTAGAGATACGTGGCACATCAGACCACATGTATTCCAACCACATCTAATTCAAAAAGCCTTTTTACGGTGTTAGTAGAGATTTCAGCTGTTTGGCAACAATCATTAGTCAGAGAAGAGAAATTAAGGACATATTAGTTAAACACTGATTTGAACAGAGAAGCAGGACTGATGCACAGCTGAGGAACAATCCTACAGTCAATCTATAGGATTCGACTCCTCCAGCAGCACATGCACACAAAGGTCGTGCTACACAGGGTCAACAATTAAATCAGTGAATGACAAAGCACAGCTCTATTGGAACAGTTTTTTGCAACTTGTGAGGTATCCTTTCAAGGGATTTAAAAAAAGAGCTTTGAACAAATCTTTCCATTTACTGCCATTTACTCTATTTCCTGTTCCCACTAACACTTTATGCACTTTGCTGAATGAGTAGAGCAGAAATATTTGGAGCACACACACACACACATACGCTGCTGCTGATTCTCCCTCAGTTAGTTCAGTTAGAGGAGCTGCAGTTCACCGATGAGCAAAGCAGTGGAAGTGGAGATCCTGTCCAAGTTTGTGTGTATGTGTGTGAATGTATGTGTTTGTGTGAATGTATGTGTGGGTGTGTGGACTCTGGTTAGCCAGATGGCAACGCTGATGCGATAACATTAAACACTAATGGAACCCCATGGTGGTGTTGGATGCTTTGCAACACACACACACACTCACTCAAACAGTGGTTCCTGCAACTATCCTTGTTAGGACTATGGACTTTCCTTCATTGTTGACAACATAAACAAACCCTCATCCCGAACTTTAACCATGACGAATTCATGACTAACCTTTACCTAACCACCATTCACAGCTTAGCCCTGGCCTATAGACATCACAAATTACCTTTGGACGAGGAATTGGTCTCCACAGTGTCCACTGGTCCTGACAAGGTCATTGTTTATACAGTTCAGAAATCTTTTCCTGAAGCACAAGCTTCCTCATGCACCATATGAAAGAACACACACACACACTCACACACACTGGTAAATGCAGACACAGATATTTCCTCTAACTGCAGCAGACGCCAGTCAGTATGTCTTGACTTCCCCGCCCCCTTGATTTAATTCTGACAGTCAGAACAACAGACCACCAACTCATACTCTCTCTTTGTGTTTGTGTGTGTGTGTGTGAGAGAGAGAGAGTATGTATGTGTGTGTGGTGGTCACTATATGGTCTTTCCTTATCAAACTCGTACGTAATACGTAATACACTCCACCTGCATTTGCGTGCGTGTGTGTGAGTGTGCACGGGCTAATCGCGGCCATGGGCTTTGTAGTGTTTGCTCGTGGCTCTCGCGCAGGGAACTGTCAACACTGCTCTGCTCCCATTGACGCCCAGCATGCGCGCGCTCTGCCGTAATCGGCCGTGCTCCTCGCGCGTCATGTTTGTCTAGTCAAATACGGGACATGTCGCCCCTGCTGTTGTTAGAGCACACACACACACACACACACACACACACACACACACACACACACACACACACACACACACACACACGACAAGGAATTAAAGACCATTATTTTTTATGAGCAGCTCCGAAATAAAAGTCCTCTCATAACTACTTAAACCCCCATGTTTTTCTAAATAACTTCTACTAATAAACTTCAAGCAATAACATATTTACCCCCAAATACCCTAAAACCTTTAGTTTGAGGTCAGATGCCTAACATGAATGTTACTCAGGGTGGAAATCAGACTCATTTTAGTTGCTTCATCACAATCAAATAATACCCGAGGAGCTGTTTTGACTGTGGAAACTGAAAAAACACAAGAATGACTCAAAACCTTCATTACTGAGTAAAAAGAAGAAAAAACCCGAGGGACACTCTCAATACTTCATTCCGTCACTTACTCATATGTTACTTTATTTATACATAGGCTAATAGTATATTCTCTAGATTGATATTTGTCATTCTTTGAGTAGATGTATCCAAGTGGAATAAAACATAATAATCCATCTTTTATGAAAATCATCCCTGGATAAAACCCACATGTTTGGAGTTTAACTTTAAATCATTTTCTGTAACAATTCACTATTGAGCACATAATAGAAATAATTGTCGAAATAGGGAAAATTAGATGCAATATTTTTTTTAAACTGAGGATATGAGTCAAGCTGCAGGCCTGCGTGTGTTTGACGTCATGTTTTTTTTTTCTTCTGCTAGTGACCAGCTCTTCAGCCCACGTGGAAAAAACACACATGCAGCATTGTGGGCGTCATGGGGCATTTCTGGGCTGCAGCCTACTTAAATAGTTTTGCAACCGATTAGGCATCAGAGGAAGAAGAAGAGAGAAAATGAACAGAGAGAAGAGGAGACCACAGTGCGGACTCTGTGTGATCTCTGTGCGTGTGTGAGAGTGTGCGTGTGTAGAAATACAACAGGGTTTAAGTTGAGTTTGTCTAAGACAGTTAGAGAGAGCAAAGAATGTTGTAAAGCAAATAGACTACACACAATACTACAAACTGTCTGAGGATTATAATGGTTGTCATTGTGTGTGTGTGAGTGTGTGTGTGTGTGTGTGTGTGTGTGTGTGTGTGTGTGTGTGTCAGGTGAAGAAAAAAGCCTTTGATCATCACATAAATACGCGCACGCACGTTCACGCATGCTATAATGATGTTCAAGATGTAAACATGAACCTGCATATGCTCGCTGCGCCAGCAACATGCGCCCTGATCCCGGGAAGAACCTGTCAAACCACTTGTGTCTGCAAACGTCTCATCCTCTTCGGTGCTTTACATGTGGCGCTCGCCACACACACACACACACACACACACACACACACACACACACACACACACACACACACACACACACACACACACACACCACTAATACAAATGGAGTTGTGTTGGTGGAGCATCTCTACTTTTGTGTTACCCAAGAAAATCCATCTGCACACACTCCAACACCACCACCAGATTGCATTTGATACACTTGCATATACAAGCAGGTGTGTGTGTGTGCGTGTGCGTGTGCAAGCAAGGGGACAGACAACCCAAGCAGTCAGACGCAGGTGGTGCAGCAGAGTGAGGCGAAGGGAAAGTGTCTAACCTCGAGGTGTGCATTTCAACTGGACAAACTGCAGCTGTTCCAATAACTGAGCGCGCCTGCTCATTGTCAGAATGCCATAGATCTAACAAATAAAAATATGAAGTTGCACACATCAGCACAAAAACACTTTTATTTTTAATTCTCTCTTGTTCGAATTTAGTGGACCCCCCCAAAAAAATACACAACCACACCACCAGAGACTTTATGTTGAATTTATAAATATCAATTTTTAAGTGTCTTATTTCTGCAAGTTTTTTTATTGAAATGTGAACTCAGACAAATGTTACTAAATTATATCCTGTTATCTTTAGATTTAATTTTGTTTTGGTCATTTTTTAGGAATATTAATCATTTTTCGCACAATTAAACCAACCAAGTATACCACACCACAAAATCTGCACAAAAAGAGACATGCGCCAAAAAAAGTAACTCTGAAACAAATAGAAATAAAGTGAAGAGAAGAAAGAAAGAAAGGACTGTACCTGGTGAAAGAGCTTCGCGCTGAATGGTGCTGGGTGTCCGGTGTTGAGGGGTGGCGTGGCTGCGGCCGGGACAGGGCTCCTGGAGCGGGTAGGGCTCGGCGGGTGTCGCAGTGGAGGTGTCCGATCGCCGGTGCTCCGAGCAGGGCTGGGCGCGCTCTTCCGAACCTGTGTCTGGAGGAGAGATGTCCGGGTTACAGCTATGTGATGACAGGCTGAATGAAAGAGAACCGTCACCTCCACTGCAGCGACCATCACAACACACACACACACACACACACACACACACACACTGAACTATAAATTACACTGAAGTGATTATTATTTTAATAATAAGAAATCTTGTCTTCGCGATGCTTCCCAAAACACAAGTTTGCGCATTCTCTGAGAGGTGGAACTGCACAAAATCCACAAAACCGCAAAATACCTGAGCTCAGATTAAATGTTTCCACAATTTAAAAAGAATAACCAACAATTTCACTCTACACTAAGGAGACACAAACAAATACAATCTGACCGATGGAGTCAGTAAATCGGATGAAAAGAAGCAGAATAAAGAAAGAACTTATCAACTACTTCGACAGAGCCAGATGTTGTTCGACCGAAATGTTAGAAATGATTGAAATTATTCTAATGAAGGAAAGGAGGACGATTTAGACATTTAGATTAACAGCAGTTTGATTCCCTGCTGAAAAGAGAATATTAAGAACCACAACTGAGGACTTCATGCTCATTTCAAGACTTGCACTTACGTGGGTGATAGGTTTCTGTCTGCCACTTAGCATCACTCCGTTATTATTCTAATTTTCATTTTGTGCTGCAAAAGAGAAATTCAACCTGGCGAGAAAAAAACTATGGACCATAACTCCTACAAATACAGACCTACAAAAGTGATAACTTTTATAAAAGCAGTCTGAGCCAGTGCGTCCTGCAGCCCATCGCGTTTCTTCCTTCTGATCACCGCCGTGTTCGGCTGCGCAGGGTTCATCCAGAGGAAGAGAGAGAAATGTGGAAGTTTTTGCAGAGTCGGACCCAAAACCAGACCAGCGGACTCCTGTGTGCCGCGCACCTCCAACTCCCTCACACTGCAGCAGGGCGCACGACGGACGGTGGATTTCAAGGCCCAGAGCGCCCCCTTTCTGTCACACACACTTTCTCATAAACACAAGTGTGTGTCTTTTTTTTTTGGCCAGACGCACACAGACCCTCTGGGAGCCGGGAGACCACATCTCACCGTATGCATCTCAATAGTATCTGTTGACAAGCTGCAGCCCTCATAGATCAGGAGCTCACAGTCACCTGCAGCCACAATCTCTTGTCTTTGTGTCAACACATCAAACTCGTCCCCTTTGTGAGGCACTTTTCTGGACCTACCTTTTTCTGAGATAACCCTTTAACAATTCTTCTGATGGTTCTTTGGTCAGGTTATGACATCCAAACTTCTCACGGAACATTTTAAAGATGTTAAATTGAAGATGGCAAACCGGAGTAAACAATCAAGTCAGGCTGTGTAACACTTATTTGATTAGGGTTGATTTGGAAAAGTTTAGCCATTATTTAATTCTGTGTCGTGGAGAGATTTATGTGCAGAAAAAACATTAAAGTAAAAAAAAGAACAACAACAGAAATGAGATCATGTTTGATTCAAGTCAAAACAGCCTCATTCTAAACTTTATTATGAATGTGACTGTGCGCTCTTGTCTTTACCTTTGTTAAGGGTTAAAAAGTCATATTCACTTGTAGATAAATTGACGTGTTTGTGTAAAGTGAGACACTCAGTCTACGTTTTTAATGAACAAGTGGTTCCCCCTCGCTGTCTTTTCAGGCCGAAGTCGGCCGGTGTGGGGCTCTGGCCCTGCGCGCACCGGTAACCAAGAGAACGACATAAGAGCTGCAAAGCACGCGCCCCGGAGTGCCGGTAGCCCCCGGTAAGCCCCTTGCACCAATAACGCCGGGCAGCGCGAGGGTTCCAGCAAACAGAGACAGAGAAAAGAGGGGACATAAAGAAGAGACAGGAAAAATATGTGAGTACTGTAAATCAGGTCTGAGAGGGGAACTGTCAGAAGTGCCTGCGTGCATGCGTAAACCTGAGTGTGTGAAAGAAAGAAATGCCAAATCAGCAAGTTACTGGAGAAGCGTAACTCAGCAGTGATGTTTTTAAAATTAAAAACTACGTGGATTAGACTCTGACTCTGTTAACGAACAGATCCAGATGTTTCTACTTGAAGGGGTTCAGTCACTGGATGTATTTTCTGGTGAAATGATTTTTCTCTGCAGTAGGAATCGTTTCCTCACAAAGACCGTGTGACCGTGCTAATTTTTGAAATTGTCAGATGACATGTGGAGGTTTTACTTCGACCCGGGTTAGGAATCATATGCCTGTCAGTGGCATGACATATAAACACAAACACACCCACCATTCCACTTTACCCCACAAACACACCGGGTCACATTTATACACACACACACTCACAACACAACCTCCACAGAAAATCCTACACCAGACACAAAAACCCCTCCACATGGCATGAAATCAAAAGAGCTTTAACTCGCCTCTTTCTGTCTGGATTTAGGTTAGTCTATTCACTCAGACCATTAGTGCTTCTGTCTGACTCCACTGTCCATTGTGTGAGTGAGCGGCATCTGATTTCCATGACAACCATAAAGGATATGGTGATACCTCCACAGCTCAAATTAAATTTCGATTTCAGCTTCATTTGCTCGTGGCAACAGAAACCCCAATATCGCGCGCGCGGATACGATATGAGCAGCTCCACGCGAGCTGGAGCCTGACATATCAACAGGTTGCAAGTTGAACAGACCAATACACACCAAATTTAAACTGGACATTAAATGACATTAAGACAATATATAACCTAAAGTACGCGTGGAGCTGTGCGTAAAAGTCCTGTCATGGCGATCTGACAAGTGCGCGACACAAGCAGGATATCAGTGATTCATTCATTCACAGTTTACTTACTGGTATGCTGTAGCGGTTCCGTCTTTACATGTGGCAATAACCTCGCATGAAGTATCCTATTCCCATCCAGAATAATCACCAAGAGTCGAAAGATACATTTACAGTGAATAAAAAAACTGGTAATATTGGAGACGTACAGGATGCATCGGCAGCAATAAAAAGTTCTTCCTCTTACTTTTTGTTTGTTAAAGTAGAAACAAAAATAAATTGGAAAATGGAAAAAAAGTGATAATAAAAATAAAAACTCCCGATGTGAGGAGTGTGTCTGCGTCCGTTCCCGCGAGCCGAGCGTGTCGGTGCTGCTGGGAGATTTGCAAAGTGTCGGGAGTTTGTAACGCGACTTTGTTTATGTGCGCTCCGTCTGAGCTCGGGGAGAAAGTCAAATAGAGCATTTATGTGGGCTCTGCCTCCACACAGAGCGGCTGGTATGTGCGCTACGTCAATGTGACGCCATGGGAGAGGTGACGTCACTCAGAGTGGACTCCCCCCCCTCCCTATCTCTCTCCGTACAGTAGACACATAAGCCTCGCCCGCCAGAGAGAGAGGGAAAGAGAGAGAGAGGTGGTTGGTTTGATGGTTGCAGTAGTCGAGCACTATTCATTTTATACACAGCACATTATGTGGTGCTGCCTTGTGCCACTGTATAATACTAAGCTTTTCACGAATTGTGCTTACTTTCCAGATATTTTATTCTATTGATAATTGTGTAAAATGAGATGTGTTTTAAATTCAATGAATTAAATAATGTATCAAATAACCAGAACAATAAAATCCACCATGACCAGACAAAACATTGAATTATTAAATATGACCAATAGTTAAAATCATCATCATCATCATTATCATAAGTTTAACTGTAAGTTTTAATATATGTAATATCTATCTATCTATCTATCTATCTATCTATCTATCTATCTATCTATCTATCTATCTATCTGTCTATCCAGAGTGAACACAAAGAGGGCTCTCTGACCTATGATGACCTGAAGTGCCCTTAAGCGTGTCAACATCTCTTTGATCCACTTTATATTTGTCCAGGTGACAAATGTAAAATCATTCTTACATGACATTTGTAATGACTATATTAATATATGATATATCCTATCAACTGGATGTCTGAATTGCTTCTATGACCTTTATTTGGACCAAGTTAATAAAAATCACCCTTGTAAAATGTTATTTAGTCCATTATACACAGGTCATCCTATATTATTTTTGTTAAATTGAATTAAATGATTACACCCAGCCCAATACAAATCATGTAATCTAAGTATTCTCACACAATCTGATGTTAGTGTGCAGGTGTATTGTGTACTGTCTGACAGCCCAGAGTTATTTAAAAGTTAAGAAAAACATCACATATTATTTGTGCTCCCTCATCTTTAGTACAAAAAAAAAACAATAAGGTGACGGCATAAGTCGTTCAACTTAAAGAAAAAGACACTTGAGTTGCTCTGAATCAGTCTAGGACCACAACATGTTGGGTTTCTCTATAAATGATAAGTTGTCTATCTTAAATTGTTATAATTTAACTCTTAAAATGGAGCTGAATTTAATGCCTATTTTAGTTGATTAATTTGTCTGCCATGTATTTTGTGAAGTACTTTGGAGTCTTGGTTAGATAATTAATATACAGATAAAGTTATTATTCCTATTATTATTACACGTGGTTTAAAAACTTTTATAAAATAGCAGTGAAGACACCAACTGGGGAAAAACAGACGCGTGCACGCTCGGCAACCTCAGAATTAAAAAGAAGTGGCTCAGAACAATAAGTCCCGGCAGCCAATCACGAGGCGCGTACTTTTCACCCGACGTCCCCAATTCTGACCAATGACGAGCTGCGGGGGGCGGAGGCAGCCCTGACGCACTGAGGCTCGTGATTGACGCAAGCTTTGTTGCTAAATTTAGCATCTGTGCGACCGGATAGCACAGAGCCCATTCATTGTGATCCAGCCGAGCCAAATATAGTCGTAGACAGGTATTTTTAGCTGGAAAGCGTGTCCCCGTTTTCATCCGCCGAGGCAACCTGAGCGATGTGGAGCCGAGTCAGAGACGAGCTCCACGATCGAATCCTCCATTGTTCATTTGTCGTGGAGTGGAGGGCAACTTTTACAATCAGCTGATCGGGGGCAGGGAGACACGCTCTCACCGCCTCTCTGCGTCCAGCTCTCCCCGGGAAAAAAGGTTTGAGAGGGAATCACGTGAAACACACAGAGCAACGACAGGTTTGTGAAACGTGGTGTCTGCCTTCACACGGGTGAAAATAAAAGTTCCCCAAGTCAGGTTGAATCTGTCACGAACAATGAAAAGGCAACAACGATCATGTGAAAGCTGAGTGTGCGCGCCTGACACACCTCCTGGGTTAAAGTGGCCGGTCTCCCTGGGAAATCCCTCCTCTGTGTTACACCTTGAAACAGATACTCCCCCTGCTCTTCACACAAGGAAAGCCTCACATTTACCTGTGTGTGTGTGTGTGAGAGAGAGAGTGAGTGAGAGAGAGAGAGAGAGAGACTGTTTTTATCCAGTCTATGGTGTGCACACAAGGCGAGGTGATAAACAACAATATAACATTAATGATCATTGCAGGTTAATTATCAAATGCAATATAATAAAAGTCCAATATATATATATAGCTTGTATATATGAAGGTGGCCCTGAGAGTTCAACACACAACGATTTAAGAAAACACCACCAAATACTCAAACACAGCCAAATATTTGAAACACAACTAAATACTCGCAACTGCCAAATACTTGAAACATAACCAAATGCTCACAACACATCTAAATACTAACAACACAACCAAATTCTTCAACACAACCAAATTCTACAACACAGAAAAATTCCACAAGACAGAAAAATTCCACAAGACAGAAAAATTCCACAAGACAACCAACGTGTTTCCAGGGGACATTGAAAAGTGATGAACATGGCTGGGCCTGCCAATTAAAGTAACCATGCTATCTAACATTCTAGCTTTGTCTTCTTCAGATCAACCTGCAGTGTCTTTTCATTGTTGATTTGCATGGATGAAGCTAGCATGTCATGTAGCTAACTAACATCACATTAGCCTGTCTCATTTATATCAATGTATTTCATCAGATCATCAGATTTGACAATCTGAGTGTGTGAATCTTTAAAGTTGTCCGACTTTGGTTGTGTTGTGAGTGGTTGCTGCATTTTCTTTGAACCACTGTAGAAATTTATTAGTTTGTAATAATTAGCAACATGAACAGAACATTTTTATCTTGACGTAATTCTTGGCCACACCTCCCATCTCTATTTGTGTGTATTGAAAATGCCTTGGTCGTCCATTAGAAGATGCAGTGATTCCATATTCTCTGTTTCTCTCTGTGGCAGTGAAAATTGGAGAAGATCAAAAAATCCTAATCGTCTGTTAAGTTGGATTTTAACGTGCTTGCAGTGTGACCTGTGATTAACACTGTGGCCAGTCAGTCTCACTGTGCCAGGATCCGCTGCAGGGCATGCGGATCACATGGCACCAGGCCTCAGACCGCCACAGGCTCGGAACAGTCAGTGATTGACAGTGGACATGCTTTTAATTTGATTAAAACATTTCCTCTCTTGATTCAACTTTGAACACAATTACTTATTGTGGCGAGGTATTTGTCAGTGTAGGTACTCAGACTCCTTCATGGACAGTCCTGGTGTCATCACTTTACTCTCAGTACTCTGCTGTGTCTCTGATGTGTCATCTACTCATGACAATCTGATGAATTAACAAAGTGAACCAATTCAAACACCTTTTCTCAAAACATCCCATACACACAGAAAACAACATCTGTGCTGTTCTTCTCGTAAAGGCATCAAGCAGAGTGGGTCATTGAGGGTGATGTCTAAATGGATCATTATTTTGTGGATGCGCTTTCATAATTGTGTTATTATTGTGAAAAAAATCTTATCAGCACATCTCCCATTGCATGTCTGTACCTTATGATCTTTTCCTGGTCATGTAGGGTCATATTTTCTAAATGGATCGTTTATGTCTTTGAAATTGAAGCCTCTTTGGCTTTTGCCAGTGATGCTGAAGCGTAATTGCCTTTATAACTCATCAGCGTTGTTTGTTCTCTTTGCTTTGTGTGTTTCACCTGCCTCTCTCTCTCTCCCTCTCTTTCCTGGCTGGACAGGGTATCAGCTGCCTCCACTGTGACCTCACCATGGTGACGTGTAAATCCAGATTAACCAGCTCTCTTATTCCGCCAGACATGGACGTGATTAGAGATTATGACTGCGTCCTTTTAATAGAATTGGACATGTGGGTAATCAAGTGCGTCCACCAAAGTTGTGTCAGGTGACTCACTCACACAAACACACAAGCACACTTACACCCACCCTACTCTAAACCATTACAAATTCATGACTAACCCCAAGCTGGACCAAGTTATAAACCTAAAATTGAATGGTTTGCTTTGCAGGGACTAAATGATGTGACTATAATGTGTAATGTGTAATGTGTCTGTGTGAGCTGAGCTCCACCCAAAACATTTGACAATTTTATGACAGTATTTAAATCCTCACACCCACACCATGTAATAATAATGGAATGGACGCCTATTTAAATATAATGCTGGTCTGGTTGGGAGTTGCACATATTTTGTATTTTGAGTTTGTTAACTTCTACATCTAAAACTTTTACTCTTGGCTCTCACAGTTACCAAAATCTTGTCAATTGAAGCCTTCCCATGAACGTCACACTTTCCACTGGATTCTCTTTTTATTCGACATAATTTCTCTGGAACTCTGCAAACCTCAAACCAATACAAATTCAATACAATCGACATTTTGTCTAAGGCACTGGAGAAGGTTCAATTAAGTTATGTGATTGGGAAATAAACCCTGTGACTATATGTTCATACCACTATACCAAGAAATGGTCTACATATCTAATTTGACTATCTAACCCATGGTCAGGGAGAGGTGAGGTAGGAGTGGTAATTTACTCATTTTAATGTCATTTAAAAGAAGTTTGTCTCATGTTTCTTCCACTGTCCGTTATTATTTTATTTATTTTGATCATTAAATGATCCATTAATGACCCATGTCCAGTATTACAGGTGTGGGCAGGGCCTGAGTTATGCTTCTCCCCCCATTCACACCTTGGACAGGCCATATTTCTTGACATATTTTGGTGGAACCTGAAAAACTTAACTTTCCCCATGGGTTAAAAATCACAAATCAATTATTTCTCTCTGCCCTCTCTCCCTCTTGTTGCACATAACGTTCACTCATTCAGCATCCTACTGTTTTACTTCCTGTATTCTTCCATCATCAAGTAACAAAAACTCAAAAGACAACAGTCAAAACCTGCTGGAGTCCAGGTCACTCCCATCTTCTTTGTGAGATCATTGTTGTCTTTGTTTTTGCAGGGTGAGGCTCCTCACAAGCTGAATGTGGTAGCCAGTTTGTGCCAGACAGGAACAAAACAGAAACATCTCAGCTAAACATGCAGTGAATTTTGGTGTGATTGTTCTCTGCTAAACAAATTGAATTTCACAAATCAAATAAATTCTCTTTGTTCTTGAGCCTCTTTTTTCTGCCCCTGTTAAAAACTAATTATCCAATCATAAAGAATTGCATTGACAGGTTAAGTGCCTGCTGCTTCTCTGCGTGAACTGTTTAAACCTCTGCAAGCTTGTCAGATTTATGATGGAGGAAGTTATGTTCCTGTGTAGAAAGTGTTTCAGGGTGCCACCTCTCACAGTTGTGAGTGCACGGTTGTGTGTACAGTGTTTGGGTCTCTTGTACAAAGCTGCTGACTGTATGGTGGACATAATGCACCAAGACACTCTGAACTCTGTCTTATCACAAAGCAGAAGTGAAAAGTGATTGTGTCAGTTTGAATGAGCTCTCTATGTCTGCGGCCAAGGCAGCGGCACTCAGTGCTCTGGTGTCACTGGAGAAAGAGGAAAGCAGAGAAAGAAAGAAACAGAGGAAGGCTTTTATCATCGTGTCACCAAATCTGCTCCAACTGTACGTCAGAGTGCAAGAGGATGGGAAGGGGAGGGCGTGCGGGGGAGAGGATTGCTGGCGCAATGGCAGGGTGCTCAATGGTGGCATTCTTCCCTTTCTGTGGGGACAAACACACACACAACGACAACACACTCTCATACCCTCATACACCAGGGGATTCCCCCCCGGGAGTACCCAAGTGAAGTAATACAACCCATCACTGCCTTATCACACCAGTGCCCACAGACAGGAGAGAGTAGAGAAGTGTTTCCATGAACTACAGCAGAGGAGGTGTACTATATATCACTCATGCAGAGATCTGTGCCTTTATATGATGTTATCGTGATGTGTTTTTACACTTTTTAAAAATTATTTGTGTGTCTCTGTGTGTGTGTGTGTGTGTGTGTGTGTGTGTGTGTGTGTGTCTTGACAGAGGGAGAGGGGGTAATGCGCAGCAGCTTGTGCGTATTGCTCTGTAGTTTCCCTCTTTGGTGGCAGATTTATCACCTTTTTTATTATTACCCTGCAATGAAATGTAAAGGTGATTCACCGCTTTGTGTAAATTTTGGAGTGTGCGTGGCTATGTGAGTCAAACCTTGCCCAGTGTTTGTGTTCCTTTTGTGTAACTTTAACTGCAGTCTTTTGTGCATGTGTTTATATGTGACATATTTATGCATGTGTGCGCTGTGGTGGCAGTTTTACAAGACCTGAGTCCATGCATTTTTTTTTCAGTGTAGAAGTTGAGGAAGCAGATTAAGCGGGTTGCCTGCAGTGGCCTCATTTGCATGGGTACAAAGTGAGAAATTCATTTAACCTCATGAATTTTTGCCGTCATGCCCTCATCTTCTTCTCTGTACATGTGTAGTCGGGGGCGATGGCATTGGGGGCTTGTTCTTCCTGCAGCAGGAGGTCAGAGAGTGTGTTGTCCTTATGTGGTTTTGACGAGAGTCATCAGTACAGAAATCTTTGTTAAAGCACAAGTGTCTTTGAGCACCATATGAAGTGAACACACAAGCACACACACAGACACACACAGAGTTGTGAGCAGCAGGTGTGTGTCAGGCAGGATCCAGCATGCTATATGCTTTTTCATACCATTTTAGACATTGAGAGGTTAAAACAGAAACTTCGTCCTTGCCAGGTTTGAGATGTACAGCTGCAATCACCGATCAGTCAAACAGGCTTGACTCCTTCATAATAACTATTATTGTGAGTATTGCACATTTGCCTACACCCTTCAAGCTCAGCAGACAAGGCAACATTTCCATTATTAGCTGGCCTGCAGTTATGTGTGCTGGGGTGTGACAAATATAGATGTAGAAAATAATAAATCAAATGGGTAACAATAGTTGTTGCATGTTTAAAGACACAGTGAAGCAGCAGAAGATCAGTAATTAAAAGAAGGATTTGCATTTAGACTTTTGCACAACAAGGATCCCATGTGGGTGATGGTGCACTCGTGTGCAGCTGTTGACTTTGGAGGAACATGAGCAGCTAATGCCAACGTGAAGGAGGCAGAGCAGTCCAAGAACACTTAAACCCACTGATGAGTGACTATACCTCCACCCCTGAACCACCTCAGCTCTGGATACCCTGTCATCTCACTTCAGCCGTCCACCCAGAAGCTCTTCATGAGACATTTTAACTCTGCGTCCTTTCTTTTGGCTCCAAGAAAGTCTCCTTTGATCCGAAACACATAATTTGCTGCTGTGGTGTTCTACTTCCTGCTGGGGTACAATCTCAACAGTGTATTAGTCGAGTTTACAAATGTATTCATTAGTCTTTAGTCTGTGTTTGTTAGTTAGCAGGATTACTCAATAACGACTGAACTGGTTTCCCTGAAAGTTAGTGGAAGGATGCAGTACGGGTCAGGGAAGGTGCAGATCCAGACTTTCACTTTCTTCAACATTGCAAGTTAGGGCTTTTTTTTTTTAACATGGTGGATTCTCAAATTAATTCATGGATCTTGATGGAAAAAATCAAGCATGGTTTAGAGATATTTATATGTAAGTACAGTTTGGTGCAGATCCAAATGAATATCTTGAGTTGACTGTTTATTGCAACTGTTAGGCCTAAGCAGTATCTGCTCTGATTGTAGTTCTCTTAGTTTCTTAGATTAAACATCTTGCGCTGCAACATGTTTGTGATTTTGGACTTTGTATCTTGAAGCTGTCTGGTTTACAATGAAACTTCTGTGCCTGTGATCGCTCATTATACATTAATAAAAACCCTGTCTATCAATACCTGTGTGCCTGCTATTTAGACGCCTGGCCACTGACCTGTGGTGTAAGGTTGCTGTAAACAACAAATTGTATCACTACTGAAGGTATTAAGTTTACAACTTAAGTGCTAGTGGTGAATTTAGAAGTGTGTGGGCTTAATTTGTAAGATAGTGTGTCGAAATATGTGGACAGCAGGTGTGTGAGTCACCCAAGTGTGGGCAGTTGTTTAAAGAAGATTTTCTTGAAGATGGCAGAAACAGGAACATGTACTAATATGAATGTGTGTGTGTGTGTGTGTGTGAGAGAGAGACATGTGGCTTGAGTTAAAACATTGCATCACTCACCCACTTAGAGTGTTTAGATAAAGATATCACACATTAAACAGGTAGACTCTCCTCAGAGATATAGTAGTTGTCCACTTGAGAACACGTGTGATGGGGGTGTAACCAAGTATTTGCATGCAGTCTATAAATAAGCTTAATGTGAACATGCAGCTGAGCACCAGAAAGATGAAGTGCATTTAATGTAAAGTCTCGTGGCATGATAGAAACTGTTTGTGTTATTCACTTCTGGGCCCTGGATTATGCAGCCGCTGGTGGCATCTGGCTGGATGTCCTGCACACCTTGATTAGTTCCACCTCTGCTCCACTCCACCCAGGTATCTGTTTGACTCGTTAGCTTGTAATGCAGTTTTTCTCTCTGTGAAGAAATGATGACATTTTGCCAACTGAGTCAGCGTCCTGGTAACCCTTCAGATATTCATCACCAGAGCAGAAAGCGTGTGATCGTGTGTGTGTGTGTGTATGCTTTCTGTGATTTTTACCCGTGTATCAGGTTTAAATACTGTATGTGTTCAGTATTTGATGATTTGCTGCTGGTTATCTCATTTTGGGTCACACACCGACCACATGGGCATGTACATAGGCAAACAAACACTCTCAAAGAGATAAACAAGTGGTTGCATTTCTGCATGAGTCACACTCGTGGGTAGAAGTGGAAACTTTCCTTGTTTGGGCGATTCCCCCCTGCTGACACTGATATTTTTTTTATTTGAAGTATTTATCTGATGTGTTTCCAATCTTAAGTCAACTTGCAGTGGACAGCAGATTCATTCAGCTCATATGTGCATCCAAACAACACTCCCTCTCTTCCGTGTAGACGGAGTAAGGAACTCATACATCCAGAGTAGATCCACTGCTGCTTTGTGTTGAAAGAAGCTAGCTGAGGTGGTTCGGGCATCTGATTCCACCAGGGGTTTTCCAGGAACGTCCGACTGGTGGAGGGTCTTGGGGTAGACCCTGAACCTGCATAGTTCACCTGGCGTGAGGAAAACATTTTTAACATCTGGTTTAAGTCATTTTATTCCTTTTTATCTTACTTTCATTGCAACCGCATGTTATGTAGTTTCTTAAATAGGACAACTTTTGACTCTGCTGCCTATGACAGTAGGTGTCTGATCTACTGAGCGGGCCACATGGCCTACATAGCACTGCCATACAGGCCAGTAGCCAGTCAGATTTACTTTTAGCCTCATAATTCATGGATCGTGATGAAAGAAATCAGGCATGTTTGAGACTGATATCTATGAGGGTGCGCAATTTGATGTGGATCAAAGATAAATCTGGGTGTTGTGAATTTAGATGTATTTTCACAAGGGAACTGTTGGGACTTAGGGGAGTTATGAGTGATGTTCTGGTTGAAGTATCTTTCGGTTTTGGACAGCTGAACTGGGAAAAAGAAGCAATTTGATAACATCAATCTGCAAAAAAGACAGACAGAAAGGAAGTGTGTTCATGTCTCCTGTTAACTCACCTTCACACAATGAAAAAAATAAGAATTAATAAATGTTAAAAATAGCTTTTTTGCATAGTACCATGTTTACTTTGCATTGCAAGGTTTTGTCATTTTTTCAATTATTATTTGGCGTTAATTCCTCATTAAAATTTGGCGTTAATTCCTCATTAAAATTTGGGGTTATAAAGACATTTATTTTGACATTTCTTTCTATTTCTTGATTTTACTGCCGATCATTAACAACGTTAAATGACCTAAGCTCCCATTCACTCTTTTCCTCGCAGTGTATGAATGAAATGCTTGCAGGGCTGTGCAGAGACTAGTGTATTGTTAATGACACATAATACGTTTATGCTTTAAAAACCTCAGGTATGTGCAGCTTTGCTCAGAGAGAATGAGGAGCAAATGTCGGAAGAGAAGGACGAGCCTGTCTCATCATGTCTTTGCCCTAGGCTGTCGATGAGCACACACCTCTACTGATTT